GGCGAACATATCACAGTGTACTCAGAGGCAGCATCCATCTTCTTTCCGCTATGGAAAAAAGTCTTCACCCTCAAGGGGTATATTGCTGGAGGCGTGGTGGAAGATTCCTCATGGTTCCACCTCCTTGTTGTTGAATTAGCTAATGCTGCACCCAATGACACCACTACACCTCATGACAATAAAGGTTTGTTGACGTCTTCAGGTGACCACAAGAAAACCTTATTGTCAGGGGTATGTATCAATGGCACACAATCTCAAATCTGATCAATCTACTAAATCTGCATCACATGTTGCAGTTGATATTGTGGCACAAGTCATCTTCATTCCCTGGTGCCTGTAGAAAGGATATTAGCACAACTCTGTCTCAGGTGTTGGTGCCAACTATGTCAGGTCATACATTGGTTGATGCCCCAGCCCTGTTGTTCAGCTCATCAGTTCAAGTGAGGGATCCTGGTGTGCCACACATTCAGGGCTTGGTCACTGGTCAAACTAGCTTAGAGTCTTTTGCAGGTCCTCAGCAGTGGCACCATGTTGAGTCTTTAAAAGAGTGTGAATACCTTTTCAACAAAAATGGCTGTTCATTTCACTGATTGTTTATGGCATTTTTAAAACCTTACAGCTTCATTGGACATGTTCAAATGCAACTGTACCAAGCCATGCAAACACTTTCCTACCCCTGAGTCATGAAAACCACCTATCATTGTTACAGTTGATCCAAAGTGTATGAGGTATAAGAACCACTGTAGTTCTGTTGCCTCTGTCAGACAATGTATCTCATCATTTCTATAAACAACAGTAACACCACCTCTGCCACCATAGTCAGATTATTTTACTAATATGTCAACCATACCAAGTGCCAGCACTGTCATTACAGTTGTTGAATATAGTAGTCATTTATAGATTGGAACAAGACTGCTTCTTTATGTTTGCTTTATTACTTGCATATTGCTCATATATTCACAATTATGCCCAGCTTGACATTGTACAAATTTGGTCACCTGGGGCTATGGCATATCTCCCGCTTTGACATTAGTGCTCAGTATCTGTATACAATGTATGGCTCTGGAGAGCCCCAGAGTTTGGACTAATGCATCTTCTCATCTTCAAAATTTCCTTCCCAAAGCAACTAAAAAAAGCAAATTTTACTGAGAAACAATGCAGATCTAGTAATTAATTGTATACTCAAAATTATGCCTGGCTTGACATTGTACATGTTTGGTTGCCTGTGGCTGTGGAATATTTCCCAGATTAACATTAGTGTTTGGTATCTGTGTCTGAAGTAGGGCCATAGATTGTGCAATGAATATCTGCAGGTATGAGAGTGGATGAGTGGTATGATCAGCCAAGATGAGCTTTTTCTTATTACAAGGGTCAGAGCAGAGCAAAGGATTGTTGTTGTTCAATGTCACTAATGACTTCACACAGCTGTCCCTGTGCTCCTGACTGATCTCTACATCACTAATGTTTTGTCTATTGTTGTTTCTCAATGCTGTGGCAGCAGTCATTACTTTGTAATGTCATGGCATGCAGCAAATACCCTGGCATGTATAAACAAAGTACACTGTATATGGTACCAACTTTAGATAATAATAGTCACTCCATTTCTTCAGGTGTTTGTGAATGGAGGCATCCAGGGTTTTGTGTTGCATCAAAGGTGCAAAGCCAGTGGGTAGATCCATGGATGCAGTAACTTGCTCATGACTCATTTGACTATTATTTGTCATTGGATATGTTTGTTGATCTAGGTTTAATATAGAATACTCATAGATGAGTGCAGCCTTTGGGTCTGACATCACCAAAGCAATCCAGATTTTTGGGTCCATGACAACAGTCTTTCTGGTCATGTTTCACCTAACCTTCTTTGGATTTTCACATCTGTCATTGCATTTATAAAGCCCACACATGTTCATCAGCCAGTTACCTTCTTTCCTCTTTCTGTAAATACATTGAGCATGTTCAACAGTGCACTGTATGTTTACTATCTCAAGTATCTGGTTGATTTGCTTGTTCATTTCTCCGGTATCCTTGTAGAAAATCACCAAATGACAGTGACAACCACTCCAAGATTACCAAGAAGTGTGCCAAAGCATTGCATTGTACCCACTCCAAGGGTTTGAGGTCAAAGACAGGTTGCATAATATGTCATACTAGAAAAGTGAAGGTCAGCATTGACTTTGTATAATTTGTTTCACCACATTTCTCATGTAATAACATCATCCAATGTGATGAAACCAAGCCTTACTGCACCAATTGTAGTCACAGACTGCAATGTGTATGTGTATATGCTTGATATTATGCTCTTTATAAACTCACAAGTTGATAGTGCACCTGGCCTCAAGGCATATTACCATCTGTATGACAGAAGCCCTCCGATGAACTACGCAGCAACAACAGTGAGGGAAAAGCATTGGTTGCTAATGTTGACAGTGTTCCTAGTGCACCTGCACCTGTAATGCATGTCAATAGTTTCTTTCAGCACAAACCACATATTGAGTCATCCAGTGTTATCACTTTGTGGTCTAGGTAATGTTTGTTTTGCACAATATACTATGCGCAGTCATTAAAGCATATGCAGTGTTGAAGTTAACACAAGGCAGCTGTCAAAAGTATATCTGGATGTTTTGACTCATTACATGTAAGGTCATAATGCTTCCTGTTCATTGACACTTATCAAACATGCTTGCAGGCTTAAGTCACAACACCTACTAGAGCAATCAATCTGGTATAAGAATTCTCAGCCATTCAGTTGTCAACCAAGGCCATATTTGTCTTTGCTGCAATCAGATGAACATTGCTCTGAGAATTTGTTTCAATTTCCTTGTCCCACTGATAATGCATCTTCTAAACCCTCTGTTCATCAGCAACACAGTCATTGGGAGACAACATCACACTTGGAACATTGGAGGCAATCTCATTCTACTGCTTATGATAGTCATGCTGAGCACCTGGTCAGTCCAGTTACCTAAATAACATCTTGTTAATGTTGAACCTGATCAGCTGTTCATCATTTAGTATCAAGGCACAGAAGATGCGCTTAGAGAACAGCAGAGATTTCAGTATCTTGTTCCAGTAATGCTCAATGCATTCAAGGAAGTTTTCACAATCACAGATTCACTTGCCATTGATGAAGAGATATATTATCATATTGATCATGTGGCATTGTCAAGATCTGCTTTTTATAATGTAGTCAGGCATTAAAGAATTATCTGATTTTTGTTTCTGTCAAAACCAAAGCTTCTATGGTTTCACATATGTGACAAGTAGGACTACACAGTAGGTTGGTGCCAAGGCAGTGGCAATAAGAATAGTACATGCAAAGATGAACTTAGTGTAAACACCGCAAATCCCATGAGAGGATGGTGGATATGGAAGCATATGGGTGCACTTGATTACCTGTTAAAGTATGATTTGGAAGAGGGCTGGGAGTTTACTACAGTGGAGACAAAGAGAGAGTCACTCCTGGTACCAACTTGTAATATGCTGGTTTCATTACTATGGATATAGCAAAATGATGCTGCAGAATTTGAAAATTGGAATCTGCATAGAGAAACCATATAGAGTACTATGAGTAAAAATAAAAATAAACAAACAAGAAACATGTAGCACAAAGATATTCCTCACATAGTATCAATAATGTGCATGCTCTATTTATCCACTGTGCAAAGGTTTGTTGGAATGTTGCTGAGCTCATGGCATGATGTCATATAAATTGTTTCCCCATTTCCTAAAATCCAGCTACTTAGTACAACATAAAGCTGCACAATTTCCTGACTGTATGGTTGTCCAGAGCATGGATGGGATGCACGTGGAAGGGGAGGAAGCTGAGAGATTGCAAGGATAGTAGCAAGGCCAAGTGAGCTCTGTGGTAGTGACATAACAAAATGGTAGGAAAGTGAAGAATAAAGGTGGAAGAAAGAGACAGACAATGACAATGAGGTAGGGTATTTGTAGAGGCCTAGCAACTACAAAATGTAAAAGAATATGTAAAAGAGGACTGACTAGGTACTCATAATTATAAATGACCATAAATTCATGAATGATGCTCAAATGTAATGTGACATCATGTGTTCATGTCTGCATGCAAAAGAGTTTTGTAATGAAAAGAGTATAAAATTAACATGGATAGCCCACAGTAGCTAACTATCTATGTAAACAAAGCTATGTGTAACAACAGGGATTGGCAAGAATAAGTAGTGACTAAGAAGGCATAACATGGGAGCTGGTATCAGAATACTGCAAGTATGCATGCCAATATGACCCACCTGAGACACATCCTTAAGAATATTCAAAGAAGCACTGTCTCAACTCAACAGAAGGCATGTCTGAGAAAGTAAAAGTGCAAGTAAGTAGCTTATACATAAGCTGATTCTACAATCAATCACACTTACACAACTTGGTTTCTTTTTGATTTATACAGTGACTGTAAAGAACATGTTGGTGATTCTTTTAGGAGACTAGGAGGGGAGAGAAGGGAGTGGGAAGGTGACAGAGGTTGGTGGCAAGGACTGAGTGAAATAATTCCAAGTCGTGGAAATGAAGAGATTGATGGGCAGGATAACTTGGTCATGGCAAGCAGTGAGGATGTTTTGTTTTAGGTTATTATGGATGAAGTGTATTGCTGATCAAGGTTGAGGTAGGGTAACAATGACTCCAGTAGAACAAGGGGATACTAAGTAAGGAGAGGAGTCTCATCATTGTTACCATCACTGAAAAGCAATTCACTGTCAGTGTACAGCTCACTGATAACAGATGTATTGTCATCATACAGTGGACCAGACAGAAGTGGACTATCATTGTGAAGGTGATTGATAAATGGCACTTTTTTCTTGTGGGCAAACACTGAAGAAGTTGGTTTGTCATAGGGGAGAAGGTCAACAAGCAAGTGCACCCAGTGCCTGTCCACAGCATAAACTGAAGAGACACATCCTGAGAAAGTAATTCCGTAGTTCTCCATCTTCTCCTGACAGACAGCAAAAGGATTTAGTGATGCAATGACATGACTACCGCACTGGAGATGTGTAGATGTAGAGGTGGAAATACTCCTCAGAAAATATGCATGAAGATGACCAGTGTGGTGGGGATGAGTTGCGGGAGTCCAAACACCAACTCAAAGAGGAGTACCATTGTGAACATCCTGCTTCTCCATTTTGGCCCCTGTGAAGGGCAGGAGGTTTAAGATGGGAGAAAAGTTTCACTGCAAAGCATGATGTTTTCACATTTATATCTCACTTACTACCCACTGGATATAGATGTGGGAAGAGAAGGTTTTGCTGTGATTGCTTCCATTGCAAAACATTTGTAGCATCTAGAGCTGAGGTCCAAGCTTGAATCTGTGTTAAACCCAGCAAACTGGCTATTTGATAATTCCTAAGGTGGTGCATGTGCGCACAGCAATACCTTTTTCCAGTCAACAGTCACCAATAGTGATCTTCCATTCCGGAGATAATCTGGGTCATTGTGAGCAATGATGACTTGGAGCTTGAACACTGCATTGCATACCCATGTGAGCAGGAGCTCCATTCATGCACCATTACTAAAGTATGCAGATCAGGTATTGTGATTATTAATTGTATGCACTTCAAGCAGATGGTCAGTTTTTGTTCCTCACTTGTGATGATAACTAAATGTTGGATGTGGTAAATGACCTTATACCAATTACCGCATGCACTTCCAATAAACTATTGAATATTGCAGGAACCACATTTTTTGGCAACTGTGAGACACACTTGGCTGGCCATTGGGTGGCTGCTGAGGCCCATGTTTTGCATGAGCTGAGTGAGCACAGCTGCGTTGATCCAGCCACATCTGTTGGGAGCAGTGTTGAGACATAGAAAAGTATTGGAAAATCATAGACAACTTGCAATAAGAGATCTCAGCCCAATACACCTTACACAGCATACTATTCCTCAATTTTGTTTCTTGGGATGTAAATGTGAAGAGAACAACATGTATTGCCATACTTGCATCAATTACAACCATTGTCTTGTGTCTATTTAAACATTGAATCATGCTACTTGGTGACTTTCCAGAATCCAATCACTCCTTATAGCAGGTCTTCTTGGTTTTGTGCAACACCATGGACCATATATATTGAGGTAGAGCAATTCATTGGCACTCATCAAACACCAGCTACTTACATTTCTACTTTGGGGCTTTGGTTCTGGGTCAGAAATGTTATGGGTTTTACCTGTCAATAAATTGCATCCCAGATTTAGCCTAAAGTATGGTAGTCTGATCTATGTCCCTCCTTGTACCTGATTATGAGCAAAGCAATTTTGCGCTGTTTAGAGTATGCTTTATTATACACCATTCAAGTTCTCTATATAAAATAAATGTATGTGTACATTCTATAATTACCACACTCTGCACAAGAGAAGATATAGGCTGTATATTTATGTGATGTATATGGATTGTCTGTATTTAGTTATTATGTATGCAGATCTAGTATTGTACACAGTTATGAGTTGTCTGTCTGCTAAGTGGGTGCAACAGACTGCATGTAGCTACAAGGCTCATTATCAGGCGCGGAATTGTGCTAGCTGGAGTGGCCTGTGCTACTCTGAGTGTGCCGCTGACCGTAAGAGGATCTTGAGTCAACAGTGCCATTTACAACTTGTAAAGTACATATTTATAAATGCTTACACACTGCCAGATAGCAATGGGTGTATAACATATGACATGCTAAGGTGGTTTGGTGTATATCATTATACTTTCAGGACCAGGGGTTAAGCAAGTGATGCTGGATAGCAGCCACAGGTAGTATGGGGATGGTGATTTGCATGTGTACACAAGATCTGAGTGCCAGTGATCAAAATAATAATGCTGGATAGGAGCTACAGGTAGTATGGATATATGTGTATGCATATGTACTTATTACATGGAAGTATGTCTTAATATAACCACAGACATGTGTACAAAGCGGAGCCTACATCCAAGTCATAACTAAAAATATGTACCTATAGTAATATTAAATGGCATACACCGAAGAAGCAAGTCAGTCTACCCATTTATGCAATGCATTGCCAACGAGCTCTTGATACTCAACCACGGTACCAACCACCATTTAACTACATTGTTGCTCACCTTGTCACCCGTAAAAACAATATATGTTGGCTGCTCCACTACACCCGCTTTATGTGGAGACAGTGGAACATTCTGAAGGTACACCACATCTTGTATCATACAGGCTAAGTAGAACAGTTGCGCTGTATGACACATGGCACTAATAGGACACTGCTCAGCCATACATGTGCACGCTCAATTGCAGTGTTCTATTACATAACCAGAATATAGGTGACCTGAGGCTGATATGCAGATTGGTGAGCGGTCCTGCAATTGACAATGAATAACAGCTGATGACCCTAGGTGCAATGATGCCTGCCCATCCTCAAGTGCTACAGCATCTACTGGTCCATATATCTGTACCTCAATCTCCACTTCTCGACTATGTATATTGTCAATCATGGAGAAGCTTATCACCATCATGCACCTGTAGCAGACTAATGGCCACCACCCTGGCACCTCAACATCACCAAGTGATGACAATGGAGGAGACGGCAACATCAACAGTACCAGCAACAATAACAGCAATGGTTCTGCCCCTGGCAAGGAGAACAATGCTGACGACCCTGCTCCTGCTGAGAACAAGGACGATGACAGCATGCCTGAGCCTGCTTGAGTTGGTGATGGGATTTAGTCCATCATGTTGTCCATACATTCAAATCACACTGTTCTGCTGTTGTACAATGCCTTTATAAAAATAAACATTAAGATCTATTTAAGCAGACAACGCATAGCCACAAAGTTCACATGAAGCCTATTTTTGGATAAGCCACACTATTGACAAAAACCCATTTTGCTTAGTCAGCAATTTCCAGTTGTACACCTGTCCCTTTGGTCCCAGGAATATGGGGGAAAAAAGACTGCAATGCTATTAAGTAAGGTGCAGCACATTTCCACTTGAACAAGCTGCTGTGCAGCATCAGATAGAACTTCCTCAATATGTAGTTCTAAGAGGTTTCTTGCTCATACTATCTTAGGTGTCAGTGCTAGTAGTATTCCAGATGGCAGGAGTGAGCACCCCCTGCACTTAAATCTTCTTGTACCAGACTACCAGACTAGGGTATGCACTTTAAAAAAATGTCAACATTGGTATGGTTTGTACAAAGTAGAATTTCCAAAATATATCACTACCAATCCTTGCCCTTGGGCTCTCAGGAGGGTGGGTGCTGACCTGGAGGGAGAGGCACACAGGAGCAATGGTAAAGTGCTGGCAGAGAGTACACCTTATACAGAGCAGATGTTTGCACAGTGCTTGCCATTGTGTATGTTGAAGGACTTGGGATAACACAGAGGGGTGTAGTACATGCACCCACAGTGACTGGTGACCTGCCTGAGGATCATGCATGCATCATGCTGCAGTAGCAAGCTCTTCCGGGCATACATGACATGCAGGCTTGAAAATCTAAAGCCATGAGTACCATTAGATAACAGCCCACAAACCCAGTATCTATTTCTTACACATTTGCTATGTGGTGTCCCCAGATCATGGTGGGCCTGCCAAGCACATTTGACAAGGAGGTGGTGTTGGCGTTCTACTGGCTTGAGAATGCTTGACAAGGGTGATGTGAATGTATAGTGCCAAATGCCAAGGGGTTATCTACCATGGGTGCACATTGGGTGTACCAAATTGAGACTGACAAAATGCAGGAGTGAACAACCAGCACCATCCACATCTTGCAGGCTGGACTTTTGGGTCCACATGGGAACTGTGCCCAGGTGACGCAGCTCAAGATGCATTCCAGGCAGGGGTGCACCAAACCCATGTATGTTACCTTGTGGGTGGAAGTGACTGTGCTGCAGCAGCTTGTAGATGGCAGCCAGAGTCCTGTTGCACATGGCCTCATAAGTGGTTTGAAGACAAAGTTCCCTTTGAATCACTTAATCATACCTAGTTTAATGGCTGAGTTTAAGTTAAGTTGCTGTAAGCAAATCCGATCCAGTCTTCAGGTCTACTAGTAAGCACTGGAGACATCATGCCCACGTTCCAAGTCTCCTGACCTTTTCACCACCTTCTCTGACGCTGATCATGGTGGCTGCAAGGACTCAGGTCGCTCTACTGGTTCTGAGTGGGTAGGGGTGCTGTCTCCTGGAGCTCAAAGCTTCAGAGTGTGGTTCCACTGTCTACCACTGAGGCCGAGTTCATGTCTGCTGTGGAGGCTGGCAAGGAGCTACTCTGGATGCGCAAGCTGCTTGCTGAGATTGGGCTGCCTGTCTCTGACCCTTCAAAGCTGCAGTTTGACAACCAGAGTGTGGGGTCAGGGCCAAGGACAGGGGCATAGTCGAGAGAGCCTCGAAGATAGCGCATGAGGTGCTTGACAGCAGCCCAGTGTAGTGACGCTGGGAGAGAGCTATGGTGCGCTGAGAGCGGTCCCTGTCAATCTTGATGCCTAGCAGCTGAGTGGTGGGGCCAAGATCCCTAAGCTTGAAGTGCTGAGACAGCTCGGTGACACAGCGATCCAGCTCTGCTTCAGACGACGAAGCGAGCGTCATGTCATCCACAAACACTGGGATCAGCACCTGCACACCTCCCCTGGTGAACACATAGAGTGCACTGTCAGAGTAGGTGCGCTTGAAGCCCATCTCGAGCAGAGCAGCATGCAGCTTCCTGTTCCACATGCGTCCACCCTGCTTGGTCCCATACAGAGGACGCTTGAGCAGGCATACCTGGTCCTTGCCACCGATGTGAAAGCCCTCTGGCTGACGCATATAGAGCGTGACATCCATGTCCCCTTGCAAGTACGCATTGGAGATTTCGACAGAGCGAAGGTGGAGGTCATGGATGGCAGCAAGGGACAGGATGAAGCGAATGGTGGAGAGGCGGACAGTGGGAGCAAAAACCTCGAGGTAGTCGAAGCCAGGACGCTGGGAGAAGCCTTGGGCAACCACTCGAGCCTTGTGA